CGAGATCTGCTCAATGTGAGAACAACTAAGTCAAGCTATACGTCTCTTTCGAGAACATAGTTGATCTAGTCGGGAGAGCATCAAGGGATGAATGGACTACTAATCTAAGGAAGTCGTCGCCATCTCCGTCCCTATAGCAAGGGTCTGGTCCACATTGTTGGGCGACGCATGTGGTTCAAACACGAGAACCGGAATAATCGCCGGTGACTCGGGCTGCCCGCGCTGCTGGACATCCTCGTCATCAACATCTCTACAAAGGGAAAAAGCTCTCAAGATCAACATACAAGAGTAAGCCAGAATAATAATTGCACGCACAAAGGCGGTTAAGATTCAGTTTTACACATCATGTCTTGGGAGTACAAGAGGTCCTACTCTTCAAATAGGGGGAGAATAGATTCCCCCATATCACCGACTTCTTCCATTACCTCCTTACGCGTGTTGCTAGCCGCCCCCTGATCCAAGATCTCGCGCAGATCGAGTTCAGGATGCGATAGCTTTACACACGCGAGGACGTGGCACGCCCCGGTGTAGATCCCGTTCGACGTTTCCTCCCCGATCCTGGTCGCATGCTTGGAGGGGATCTCCCCCATCGTCGTCGCCAGTTCCACAAGAGAAGATGTCAACGAGAACTCGTCGGGATTCGCTGGGATAGTAGACTTAATGCCGCACTCCCCGGCGAGCTGATGCAGGCCACTGTATGTGACCCGCAACGAGCCACGGATTTCCGAAAGGTTGTTCCCGAGCTCCGACATGCGGTCCTTGAGCCCCTGCTGTTGTCGCTCATTGCCGGCCACCAACTCCCTCATCTTCTTGAGGTCTTCACGAGCTTCCGCCAACTCGCGTACCAGCCGGTCAGCATGCTCGTTCGCCGACGCCACTTCCGACCTCGCCTCCGCAATCTCGCGGCCGATGCCGCGAGCACCAGCCTCGAGGAGGCGCCCCATCTCGACCTGGAGCTCCTCCCAGGTGAGGACGGCAGCCGGTGAACCACGACCAGCTGCGGGATCGCTGACTGGGCCGCTTGGTGTCGCCTCGCGGCTCCCGAGCACAAGCACGACATCCGTCGAGGCTGCAGCAGGAGACGCACCGGAAGTCCCTCCGGACTCGTCTTGTGCCGCCTTCGCCCGTGCCGCCCTATTAGACAGCTATGTTTTAGAAAGCGCTCGAACAAAATCACGGAGACGTAAGTTCATCCACTTACTTCTCGCCAACTGTCACAAGACGTTGTCGCCGTGGAGGCGGGGGAGACGTGTCCGAGGCCTGAAAAACGGTCGATGCGAAGTAAGGCGAAATTCTTCTGGCTGTACAATCTGACGACAGGATAGCTTACCGAGGGGGTTGATGCCTTGCGACGATGTCCGCTCACAGAGGAGAACTTCCTCCCCTTTGTCGGAATATTGCCACCACTTGTAGTAGCAGCAACAGCATCAGACGCCTCCTTGGCGACCTTCTCTTTCAGAGACGCCGCCACCTGATGATCCGCGAGCGGCCCGATGATGTCAGTCAGAGGAAGAGCCTACGCTTCATCAAGTCATAATGTGATCTCGGAAGGAAAACGCAGAATGCCTGTTGAGTACACTTACATTGATGGCGGCATCACGTTCGGCCGCCCCTTTTTCACAAAGGGGAACGGGGATGACACTCGCCGTTGTCGGACCACTGATCATCACCTGGCCAACATGACGTTCCACGGCTTCACTGTTCAGACCTGTGAATCGAGAACCAAATTTTGGTAAATCAAGAGGAACGCGAACATGAGCATGTCAGGATAAATGCGAGAAAGATACCCCGAGGAGAAACCTGGGTCGCGTCCTCCGGTCCGGAATAGTCAAAGGCTGGATGGGCCCGAGCCTGGAGCGGCTGAATCCGCCTACCAACGAAGTCTGTAGCGACTTCATACCCCGACAAGCCTTGTACTCGGAGATCGACGATAATGTCGATAAACGACTAGAGAGAGGGGGTCAAAGGGGGCTTTGCGGTCCAAGAAGAAATCTTGTCCGGTTGTTCTTTGGGAACAACGAAGACAGGGTCCGAATCCTTGATCTGAAGGTAGAACCACCTAGTCCGTCATTTGCTGCGAGAAGAAGGGCACTGGAAGGGGATATAACGCGACTTCAGGCCATTCCGAAGTCGGAACCCGACGCAACCAGACACCCTGTTGGACTCCATCCAACGCAGCTCGTAGTAGAAGTGAAAGAGATCAAGAAAGGGCTCTACCCCAATGTAGGCCTCACAAAGATGAGAAAAGATGCTAAGAAAGGCGATAGAATTGGGGTTCAAATGGAGAAGAGAAAGACCGTAGAAGTTCAAAACCAAGAGAAGAAATTCGGAAGGCAGAGGGAGAAAACCGCAGAGAATATAGTCTTCGATCGCAACCATGCGACCTAAGACGGGCTGGGGATTAGTACCTCCTGCTTCCCTTTCCATGGTTCCGCGACCGGGAAGGGCGCCATCTTCCTGAAGCTTCTTCAACGACGCACTGGTGGAGGATGATTTGCCGAGATCCATCGCTGATCGGAGATCGCCGGAGAAAGAGCTCAGGTCGATGAACTAGGGTTTCTTATGGGAGCGGAGAAGACGAAGAGCGCTTGCAGGCGGGATGTTTTCTGCACGGGGGGCGGACTTCAAAATGGATCCTCAAAATTCCTTTAAACAGATGCACTACCGACGGTGTGAATTCCAAGGAACAGAGAGAGATGCCCGCCAGAAATTTCTGGGTCCGTTACGCGCGGCAGTTTTTTGGACTTCAGTTTAAATTTGCTCGTGACCGTTGGGCTTCAAATGGTGCTCTCGACTACGTTTTGTCTCTACGGTCCTCGCACCGGGAACGACAACAGTCTCGACGCCAGAAGTCACGAATGGTTACATGAGCTCATTTTAAGCAGAAGTCGGGGGCTACTGTCAAGGTTACGGGTTAGGTATACCCTTTGCCCTTTGATGTACGTCACATATCGGTATGGCATACCCACGCGCATACGGATACTTCCCGCGTACACTAAGGAAATCTTTCACGAAGTCTACGGAGGGGAAGAGTTTTACTCGGACAAGACTGGGTCATCAATGTATCGTATAGGGTTTGTTATCTCCGAGTTCTACTTGGAAATCGCCTGACCTGCGATATAAAAGGGACCCCCCGGGGAGGACCTGGGGCATCGAATCTCAGAGCCAACACAACCCTCACAGCTTACGAAGTCGGAGCCTGCAAGGAGCCAAATCGCCGGGATCTAGTCGAACCAACTCGAGCACGATCTCGCCGGATCCGTCAAGTTCCATTGTTCCCTTTGTAACCTGTGTTTTCCACCATATAATCCCATATCAACTGGATTAGGGCTATTACCTATCAAGGGGCCTGAACCAGTATAATCCTCGTCTTTTGTTTGCTTGATGTCGTATTACGTAGATCCTTGTACCAATGTACCCCAATACCCTCTATATCCGGTCTACGGGTACCACCCGTCGACAAACTGCGAGACGAATCTTTTGAGCCTAATTAATCCGTCATTAGCAAATATGGGTTACTGTAGCACTTACAGCTAATGATGACGTAATTAGGCTCAAAAGATTCGTCTCGCAATTGCAAACTGTGCAATTGGTTTTTTTAGTCCATATTTAATGCTCCATACATGTGTCTAAACATTTGATCTGACAGAAAAGTTGGAAGTTTGAAAAAAAAAGTTAGAATCTAAACGGGCTATGTAGAAGTAGTATAGTTCGAAATACTCTTTGATGATTAAACCCAAAAGGAAAATAGAACTTTTATTAAAAGTCCTTTGAATTACTTTTTAATTCATTTCGAGTACAAAGTTTAGTTTATTTTTTCTTTATAATATATATATATATATATATATATATATATATATATATATATATATATATTATTTTGTAGTACAAATATTTGTACTACTACTCTACTACTGGTAGTACTAACGTTGTGTTCGTTCCTCTGGTTCCTAACCCTCTCTCTCATTTTTCGCTCGCACGCTTTTCAAACTACTAAACGGTGTTTTTTTAAAATATTTTTATATAAAAGTTGTTTAAAACAATCATATTGATCATTTTTTTAAAAAAAATTAACTAATACTTAATTAACCACTCGCTAATGGATTGCTTCATTTTCCATGCTAGAGGTAGTGTTCCTAACCATGACAAAAGAACCCAGCCTAATGGAGGAACTTTCACATTTTTGGGCTGCTGCCTTCGAATGTCCAACAAATATCGGATGAAATTTTAGATTCTGATGACACGCTTTTTAAACTGCTAAACAGTGTGTTTCGTGCGAAAACTTTTTATATGAAAGTTGCTCTAAAACATCAGATTAATCCATTTTTCAAGTTTGTAATGATTAAAACTCAATTACACGTTACTACCGTCTCGTTTTGCGTGAAACACTTAATCTTCATCTTTATTATAGCACCACCTATATCTATTTGTGGATTACTCGTTGTACTAGCAGTACATACGTTAGTACTACCTTTATCCTAAAATATAGCAACTTTGGCTATGAATCTGGACACACGGTTGTCCAAATTTATAACTAAAAATACTTATATCTTGGGACGGAGGAAGTATTTAGTTTGGAAAAATTTTTAGATTTGATTATCACATCGGATATATGCACATACATTTGAAGTATTAAACGTTGTCTAATAATAAAATAAATTACAGATTCCGTCCGAAAAAGGCGAGATGAATTTATTAAACCTAATTAATTCGTCATTACTGTAGCAAATATTTAGTGCAGCCGAGTACTCCTACTCCTGTAGTTGTAGCTAGTAGAGCCCATGCTGCCCTGTACCGCGCCTGACCGCGCATGCGAATAGCCGACGCAGTCCTTTAGCACAGCTGACAGTGACAAGACAAGGCGATGCAGCCCTAGTGTCTAGGAGTACTGTACCTAGTACCTACGAAGTACTATGGAGTACTCAAATCTGACAAGAGTTGTCTGTTCGCTCGCTATTGGTATTGGAGGAGCAGTACTACCCAAACCTACCAGTCTACCACGAGAACTTAATACGCCCCAATAAAATACTGTACTACTCCACCACAGTCCACAGACGGCCTCACGCCCTCACCCCATTTGTTCAGCAGCACATCGATCGCTCATTCGCTCCCTTCCAGGGGAGCACGCGTCGATCGGTTGAAGGTATTCTCTTTTCTGGATGGATTCTCTACTGACTACTGCATCCCTCCTCTTCTTCTCCTTCTTCTTCTTCTTCTTCTTCTTTTTTTTTTCATGGAGCTCGATCCATACATGTATTTTGCACATTCTTCTCTCTCTCCTTTTTCTCGAACTATCCCTGATTCCTGTTGATTTCTAGTTCTTTTATCCCTATTTCCTAACCCAAACCATGCATCAAATAAGGAAATTTTATTTTAAAGTGAAGCAAAATGATGATAGTAAGAACTATAGAGTTTATAATGGAAATAAATTTTATTTTAATTTTGAAGTATTTAAAGTGTACGGTGGTTTTTTTAATTCCCGTTGTAATTTACAGCCATTTAGCTACTACCCTTGCATTTGCAGCCATTTAGCTACTACCCTTGCATTTGCATGTTTGTACTAGTAATAGTTATCCCCACTACTATATCCTTATATCATGCAAGTACTGCAGCTGGGTGTATGTATCTATTAATCACATTGATAATAATATGAAATATATATGGTCGATCATACGCTATTTTTTTTCTGATAAATATGGCAAATAAACGTTCCGCTATCTCTAGCTTCGACGCATCACGCCACTATGCCGTGAATATAAGAGCTTATATCTATTTTCTTGCGGGGAAAGTGCTTATATATCTATTGTCTGCATTATACACGCACAACATATTAACCTCCCTAATTAGCACCGGTTTTGAGTTAATCCTTTCTTTCTGTATACTAAGTACTTACAACCTACTAAACATTTACTCCTATAAATGTGTGTCCACGCGTGAGGCCACGTTATCGAGGAACTCATCCAATATCATCCAATAATCTGTACCGTTCCTGTTTATTCTCGCCTATCATGCTGTAGTTATTTATTCCTTAATTTATTGATTTTGCTTTATACATTTTCCCACACAACGCTGGAGTTGTCGTCTATTTATATCAACAATTTTCACCGATGTCAAAAGGAAAAACATCACCTCGCACTAAAAACTAGTTTTTAGTAGCTTTTTTTTAGAACGCCATTAACCTCAAGCTGAGCTGCGTTTCACTACTATACTTATTTGACATGCGACTAATTTAGTTTATTTACTAGTACTACCATATAACAGAGGTATACTCCCAGCCCTCCACTTTTAAATCCTCGAAGTTCTACAAATAGCATAGTTAATACATTCAATGTGCATGTTAAATCAGTGTAGTATTTCCCACAGTATATATATGCAAATCTTATGAAACACTATTTTTTGGGGGGAATGTTTTATAATATACTAACAACTATGATATGCACATTTTTTTACTATAGATTAATAACGGCACCCTAGCAATTAATAGAATGAGTAATGCAGTCAAACATTAGTGCAAATAGTTAGTGAACATAAAAGTACTGTCCAAAAATGTGTTGTGTGTCTGTGTTAAAATGTCACCAGTCGTAAAAAGTACAGTACAGTACTATGCTTTTACAACTTTTAGCAAATACATGATGATGAAATTGAATAGTCACATTTAAGTATAGAATAATCAACCAAAACTCGTTTTTGACCTGGAGGGAGCATGTGTGTATATATGTCAATATATACTACGGAGTAGATAGGTTGACCACGTTCATGAATGCATACTAGAGTAGTACTACATAACAATTCATGTAAAATTGTTTTAGAGAACAAACACCTAGATATAAATAAAAATAAGAAATAATGAGGTAATTAACTTTAGTATTTAGTAGTAGAGTAACTTTTAAGATGCATGAATAACTAACTAGGCAATTAAGCGGTTGGGGTAAGCATGTAATACAACATGGCTTAACCGTTGCTTCAAAGTATATATCAAGTTCTTTGTTTAGGAATCTCAATTAGTAGTCACACATGATCTTTTGCATGCATATATTGCACAGTTTTCTTCTAATATATTAACATTTAATCTTTTTGCACATTCACAATAAAAAATGCACAGTATATATTCTTGTTGAAACACTAGACAGATATTGCACAGCTGTTAATTATGCGCTGATCATCATCACTTAATTTTGTGCTGTCTCTTTTTTACATGCATGGAGATCGATCAAATATATAGTATTTGCCAATGTTGATTTTCTAACTATATTTTGCAATCGCTAGTCTTTTACTTGTTTGAAAAGTTGTGTACACTCTAATTCTAGAACTTCTTTTGTGTTTAGGAGATAAAATGGAGAACAAACATGTGTTATATATATATATATATTTATTTATTTATTTATTTATTTATTTTTGTTACTAGGTTCTTAAATGAAAATATCGTTTCTTCGTTTTGCGATCTAAGATGCATATTACATATATAAAAGATACTGGCATACTGGCATTTCTATAGCTTAGAAAAAACAAATTAGATTCGTTCTCAACACGAAACTAAATTACACAGCCAGTGTGCATATATAGGTTGTGCATGTTAGTTTACTGATGCTGAATCACGCAGTGGCGCAGTATTAAGTTTTGGGTGTTCATGGCACTTATAACACAAATCTACATAATGTTTTATATTGATCATAAAAATGTTATAAGTGCCATGTTTGGATTATTCTTGTGATACGGTAACATCATCACATGCAGGCGCCATGGCTAGTAGAGGAAGTGGAAGTGGAAGCGGAAAAGGAAAAGGAAAAAAAGCAAGTGGAGGTACAAGAGGAAAAGGAAGAATGCCACTAGATGGAGAAATCACTGAAAGAATTAGCACGCTGCGCATGGCAAATACTCCACGCACTGAACGTCTTAGAAGAAATTTGGCATCACTAGTGTTACGCCAGGCGCTTCAGGGTGTATATTCGGTACAGAAATTGTCACTCTTACCAGTAACTGTTTTCTCATCAAGTGATATTCACATGCATGTACCAAGTTTATTAATGTTTTTGGTTCTAGGAAATTCTCGGCGGGTATATCCAATCATATGAGTTGGACTATCAGGATCAGGATGGATGCTCGTTTGTTCAAGGTAGAATTTTTATGGAGTCACCACGAAGTGGAGAAGAAGGGTTCATTCAACATGATGCAACATTTGTTGTCATGGATGAAGATTATGAAACTGGAAGGATTATGGCCCAAAAGATCTATGATACCACTATCAAGTTTCATGGATACAACGATGTCATTGCAGATATCTATCTAGTTGCCTACTGTGAAACACTTGGTAAATGGGTTATTGGATATGAGCCTTTTTGCCAGTACTGGCTTGAAAGTACCCTTGCACCATTTTATGAGAGTGATACTACAATTTCAGCATACTGGAGAGATAAAATCAGGTGATTATTTATACATCCAAAACTCTAATTTGTTCATCAATACTGTCTTTTTTTTAACATACCCACCTGTTTCATTTTGCAGGGAAATGACTGAAAGCATATCATATTTATGCACAAGAAAAGTGAGTCATGGTGGATTAGCAAATCGAGAGAGTTATGTGCTTGACTTGGACTCAAAATTAAAATTGATTAATGTGGCAAGGTATTCAACTGATGGTAGCACAACTCGTGACGATGTCGTGGACTTCTTTGACCTTTTATGCACGGAAGACAGGATTAATGCTTCAGGGAATGGAAATGTGGAGTGGGAAGGATTTGACTACTTGATCAAGTCTAATTCGATGTATAACACCAGGTATGCATGTGCGCGTGTATGCAACTCGATCTTTCTCTCCACCGTGCAATCAATCGATCGATTACATTTTTAATTAGTGAATTTTCCTTCTCTCTAGCTTGCATAAATGTGCTCATTGATCATGCATGCAGGTTCGGCGAGTGGAAACAAGCAAATATTGAACCACCCAATTTTGAAAGACCATTCAGCTGAGAAACTGGCATGTTATTTAAGTATTCATAAGAATGCCCAGGGAATGAATCGAGCATCGTTGACAAATTTTTCCAATGCACTGCTCTGTAAAATACCTGATTACGCTGGGTATACCAGCTTGGAAGAGTATGTCATGAAGTCCTGTGGCTGTGACTTGTGTTATGACACTGTTGCCTGTGTCACCCCTCCCCGCAGAGTTTACATTGACATAATCTATTTCATAAGGCATCTGGTTGAACATGCTGGTGACAGAAAATACAATAAGACTATGGTATGTGATTGTTGCACCTTTTATATATTATATATAACTCACAAGAAATAATGTCCTGACTCTTATTTTCGTTGCCAATTTCTAGTTGCATTGGACTGCTGACGCAATATTTGACAAGATATGTGGGATGTTTCCTGGCTTTATGAGCATGGCCTACTCGGTTCAAGCAGTGAACCCACGGTATTGGTCTAACAACCCGGAGTGGACTAAACTCTTCCGTGAGGCGGAGGAGAACGGCATTGAACTTCCAGATGATTCCTACTAGTAAGCAACGGGTCTTGATTACTCCATTAATTTTGGATTGGATTCAAACCGACCTAGCTAAAATAATACAATTGCTTGCAGATCCCAAGCCATATATATGGAAAAAATATTAACGACACACACTTTGTCTACTCTTGTTAGGTGCTCTTGCTGATCCGAGGACAGATCGATGGTAGCAGCCAACTTGAAGTCGGTACGTATGTAAGTTCGTCGTCCTGTGATCCTTGACGAAGCAAGTTGAACCAACCATTAAATAAATTAAGTTAATACACCATCTCATCTGACTGATGGTGTAGTAGTCTCAGTGTGCTAGCTAGTGCCAACGCATGCAAAGCTATACGCTGTGTGTGTTGTAAAGCATAAGCTAGCTAGTCACGCTCTCAGCTGTTATTTGTCGTTCTAGCTATTTGATGCGGCATGCAGTCACGAAGACTATGCAGCTTGATATGTATGTCGCAGTATTAATTAGTACTATCTTAGTTGAACCTAGCTTGTCGGTTGATTTGTACTCTATGTCGCAGTACGTATCACTACGTACTCTGCTTCTGTCTCAGTTGAACTTGGACCTTAATTATTAATTAGCTTATTGTGTGTCAATGTTGAAATCTTTCTTTTCTTTTTCTTTTTCTAGAAAATAGGTAAAACCTGACGTCTGCATCCAACTAGACCGGATGTACACATCCAAATATTGAATTCTTGATAGTGGCCCTCTAATCTTGCATGCATCTCGATCGGTATATATTTGATTATCTGATCTGGGCGCTACAGTATCCGCACTACACTGCGTCTTCCTGCATGCACAGTAAATTGCATCTTGGATCATCTTTTATTATCATTATTACAATTTAGACGGAGTGTAAACCAAACCTTTTACTTTAGACCGAGTATGTTTGTGTGTTGTTTCAATTTGGGGTCTCTGTCTTCTTCTTCTTCTTCTTCTAGCTCCCTTTTCTCCATATATATAGCTCTCACGGTACGCACATGGAGGAAAAGCTCGGGTCATACGTAATCAAGGTTGAGCATATGGGTAGGACTCATCTCCTTCTAGGTTCCTCCATATAAGGCCTCGTTTGGCTGTTTGTGTTTCGATGTGGAACAGGCCCCAAACCCGCCCTTCCGTGGAATGCAGCCCACGCCTGGATCAATTCCCACATCCGGCCCAAATGTGCATTTGGTTGTTCGTGTATTGCTGTGTATTGCGGCTCAATCCATGCCGACCCACGGGTGAGAGAATAATCCTCACCCGAGGCCTGGAACTCTCTCGCGTGCACACCACAGCTCGCGACTCCTCCTGCACCGCCGCCGCTTTCTCCAAGCCGTCCACCGCCTCCTCGCTGTCCTGCTGCGCCACCGGCGCCGCCGCCGCTGCCGCCTTCTCCGAGCTGTCCACCACGTCCTCGCCATCCTCTTGTGCCGCCGGCGCCGCTGCCTTCTCCGAGCCGTCCACCGCCTCCTCGTCGGCCGCCGTCGTCTGTCGCCTCATCGTCGGCGTCGCCTCGGCAGCCTACTCGCTTGATCAAGGTTAAAAGTCCTCTCCTCCTTCATCTCATCTCATTTTCTTTGCCCATCTTCTTTCATCCACTTGTTTTGCTGCTAGGACCTTCAAGATCCGGAAAGTACAGCCATCCTGCTAGGGTTTGACGATCTGCAAGAGAAATATTGGAGACTAGGTATGTCAATGCTTGGAGATATGCAAAGTACAGCCATCCTGAAGGGAACAAAACACAATAGGGAATCACTAGCTTCGATCTTGTGTCAGTGCAAAGAGATTTTGAGCAGAAATAAACTACAACTAGTAGTTCTCCTCTACACACTGCTGAGACTATACCACCACCACTGCATGATATACAAATGTATAGCAAGCAGCACACATTACAGTATTTTACACTAACACCATTGAATGCACAAAAGAGCATACTAGCATAGTAGTATAGCACTTCTATTAAACAAAGTGAGTGTTCAGTTCATACACATGCATAATTAGCTTTAATTATTTATGAACATATATAGTGTTGAAACTAAAAACTAGAGTGCTAAAACTTTTTTTTTCTTTTGCTAACTACGGTCATCTTAAATATTCAGTATTCCTTCTAGTTAGAAGGTATGAATTCGCTAATTAGGAAGAGAAGAGATGAGGAGGATGAGGAGATTATTATGTTCTGGTTGCCTGCCCTATATCTTTTAACTAGTAATGGAGGGATAGAGAAAAGAGTAAGGCATACTTTAAGTCAGTACGGTGAAGAACAACTCAGAAATATTTTAGAGGGACATGAAAAGAATTGCCTTGTTGCATTCCGCATGGAGCCTAACATATTTAGAGCAATAGCGACATATCTTCGAACAGAACATCTCCTACGTGACACGAGAGGTATTACGGTAGAGGAGAAACTTGGATTTTTTTTCTTTACATGATATCTCACAATGTGAGCTATGAAGATCTACAACATGAATTCCATCATAGTGGAGAAACGATTCACCGGCATATTATGGCGGTTTTCAATGTAATCCCATCTTTGACCTATAGATTTATCAAGCAACCTACTGGAGTTGAAACTCACTGGAAGATTAGCACGGATCAACAGTTCTTTCCTTACTTCCAAAATTGCTTGGGGGCTATCGACGGAACACATGTTCCTATCACCATTTCTCAAGACCTTCAGGCCCCATATAGGAATAGAAAGGGTACCCTAAGTCAAAATGTGATGTTGGTTTGTGATTTTGATCTAAATTTTTCGTTTATATCATCTGGATGGGAGGGATCTGCAACTGATGCTAGGGTTCTTAGGTCAGCCATGCTTAAAGGATTCAATGTGCCTCAAGGCAAATATTATCTCGTTGATGGTGGATATGCTAACACGCCATCCTTCCTTGCACCGTACCGTGGTGTTCGATACCATCTGAAGGAATTTGGGTGTGGACAGCAACGACCAAGAAATTATAAGGAGTTGTTCAATCATAGGCATGCCATATTGCGGAATCACATAGAGAGAACAATTGGTGTTCTTAAGAAACGGTTCCCTATTTTAAAAGTTGGAACGCATCATTCTATTGAAAACCAAGTGAAGATTCCAGTTGCCACAGTGGTGTTCCACAATCTTATACGGATGCTTAATGGGGATGAGGGTTGGTTGAATCACCAAGGAAGCAACATATCTCCAGAACAGTTTATTGATGTCCCTGAAGGTGACGACGAATATAGTAATGATGTGATGTCCCTTAACAGTCAAGTAGATGATGGAAACGCGGTTAGAGATATGATAGCCCTAAATATGTGGAATGACTATAGTCATAACTCGTCTTAATAAATGTGAGTCTTAACTGGTCTCATGAAATGTTTTGCTTCTGTATTTGCATCATGATGTTTTTGCATGCTTAAATTTGATAACGGTTTTTTTTTGTATTCGCAGCAACAATGTTTGGAAGAGGGTCCCCAAAGTTCAATTTAATCCAAGCTGCAGCTGTCCAAAGAAAGCCATCTCCAAAGATTTCAAGACATCAAAAGAAAAAGACATCGCCAAAAGGTATGGGCTTTTTCTTGTCATGTTAAATGCACATATGGGCTTCTCAAGTTCAGTAGGTTGATAGATTAAAAACATGTAATTATCTGTAGCTTATGTGTGCTTCTCTATTCCAGCAGTACTTGATTGTTCAAGAGCTAGTTGGAATGCATGACTTGAAAAAGCTTTGGTTGACCTACTACATGATCACAACAACGACTGCTATAGGAGTCAGAATGGGTGGTCCACAGAAGCATGGAACTGAATAGTCAAATCCTTCCATGAGAAGTTCCCCTATGTCAATTTTACAAAGGTTCAAATTCAAGACAAAGAGAGAGAGAGAGTTGAAGAGGGAATATAGAGTTCTAAAAGAAGCGAGAAAACAAAGTGGTGTGTCCTGAGATGATAAGCTGTGCATGATTGAAGGAGATGAAGCTGTTTGGAATAACATTATTATTGTGAGATTTCTTGTCTCTCGGTGCTGTTAATTCTTGTTAAATTCTTAAATATAGTTCTTGCTTTAATTTCATTTGCTAATTACTTTTCTTTCTGGTATTCAATAAACAGTCTCATCCTAAGGCCAAAAAAATTCCGGAATAAATCTTTCCCATTGTTTGAGGCTTTAGGAGAGCTATATGATGGTATGTCACCATTGTTGAATCTTTATTTTCCTACCAACCAAGCATGTTCTATTCAGTTCTCCTAAACATTACTTGACTTCACTTTCTGTTGTAGGACATACTGCCGAGGGAACCATGAACTTCACCTCTATTGCCCCTTCCCAAGTTCCTATCACACAGCCTTTTCAAGTACCTGTCACACAACCTTCTCATATTCCTCTCACACAGCCTTCTCAAACTTCTCAAGCTACTGTCACACAACATTATATGGGAGAAGATGAGAATTTCCCTTTTGACTCTCATGTACACAATGCTGAAAGTGATGATGACGACCTGAGAATAGTGGAACAGCCAATTGCAAGTGATGCCGCTACAAGGTCAAGAATGGGAAAAAGAGTTGCAAGTGCAACAAACAAACATGCTGGTACAAGTGACAAAACAGAAAAGGCAACACAAAGGCGTCGCCAGGATGGGAAAGTTGTTGAGATGATGGGAAAATTTCTGGAATTTAAAGAGAAGCAAGCCGAGACTGAAATTATGCAGCAGGAAAGGGCAAGAAGTAATGTGCATGAGGATGAGTTCCCGATCCCAGTATGCATTGCTGTTGTGGACAGCGTGGAAGATATGTCGGACGATGAGAAGGTCCTGGCTTATGATGTCTTCAAAGATCCACAAAACAGGGCCATTTTCATGACTGCAAAAGACTCTACACGACTCAAGTGGTTAAGGAGGAAGATTACAACTGCGTAAATGTGGTACTGCTCCTTCTGTCTTGTTATTGCCTCTATGAAACTGATGAATATATTAATTAGTACTACACTTTAGTCATATTAAACAGTTGGATTTTGTTTGTTGTATCACCTAAAACTTCAATTCAGTGATGCTCAGCAAAACTATTTTTTGGGGGTAAATGTTGAGCAGATTGGCAGATGATACATTTGTAGTTTTCACATTGTAGCATCACCTGAGATGCAGGTGTATTATTTATGCTAAAAATGATGCTCATTATGCCTTACATATTATTCATGCTCTTTTGTTTTTTGGTGAGTGTAAACTTTTATATACATATATTCTAATATATTATTGTTGCTCTCTCCGGGTGAGCAGTACTGGGCTCTGAAAGCATGATTTGAATTTGCTGAATGAATGATAACGCTGATATGTATTATTTATGCTAAAAATGATGCTCATTATGCCTTACATATTATTCATGCTCTTTTGTTTTTTGGGGAGTGTAAACTTTTATATACATATATTCTAATATATTATTGTTGCTCTCTCCGGGTGAGCAGTACTGGGCTCTGAAAGCATGATTTGAATTTGCTGAATGAATGATAACGCTGATACTTGGAGTGAGCTTATCTATTCAAATTTGAAGATGCACAAAGTGAATTTGTTTAAATGTACTACATCAGTTCCAAAATATAAGCATTTCTACTTATTTATCAAGATATAGCTTGTAAAATGCACAGTTAATTTCATCTTGCTCCAACTTTTCTTAGTCCCTTAGGCTCCGTTCGTTTGTGTGATATAGGGTGAGAAAGCACCTCGTTTTCCGCGCGCACGCTTCCCAAACTACTAAACGGTGTGTTTTTTGCAAAAATTTTCTATAGGAAAGTTGCTTTAAAAAGTCATATTAATTCATTTTTGAAATTTAAAATAGTTAATACTCAATTAATCATGCGCTAATGGCTCACCTCGTTTTGCGTATCATCCCAATCTCCTTCTCCTCAAACACACCCTTGGTGCTCTTGTCCTAGGAATTTGCAAGCTTCCTTATTAGCTCTTTTCTCTAGTTTCTCTCTGTTGCTAGCAGTCAGTTTGCCACGGCAGATATGGAGCCAATTAATCTTTTGCCTTGTACTCTGTTTCAGCTGATGCATGGAAAAAAGATGCAATGGAAAGTAGGGAGATATGCTGCTGTTGGAGTTGTCTATCTTTTGCTTGGATGTTTCATGTCAAAGAAATTATTCATAGATGGAACACCTAGTAGACTTCAAATTAAACCTCTATGGTAGATTTAGCTATCAAAGTTATTTATTATTGTCATATATGCTTGGATGTGTATGTCTGGTGTGTGCTGTTTCTACCTGGAAGATTTGTGTTGAATCAATTATTCTAGATCACCTATAAATATTTCATGGATCAGTAACATGTTCATCCATGCGCATGCATGTTAATTTCTCTATTTACTATGTGAAATTCTACTCTTGTGTTTTTTTAAAAAAATTTAAAGCAGGATTTTTAGAATTACATATGGATATACATGTTGGATTTTCTATTCTGGTATTTTATTTCTTAGGTTTTTCTGTATTTTTTATATTAATTTTTTACTTAACAAACGAGACCTAAAAGGTAAATCTAGCTCTGCCCAACTCTTCATGCATACCACTAGCTTAGCTAGCGCTACGTACTTGCTGTGGAGTCAAACCTAGGCATCACCGGTCGAACCACCAGCCCCCCTTTATATTAAATCATGCTGTGTATTGGGTGAGCGGTGTGGATTCACTCAATACACGAGTAGAACTATTCACACATGTATAATATACACGGGCAGCCAAACGAGGCCTAACTAAACAAGCAAATTCAACCTATAAATTAGGAGAGGGCACACACACACAAGTATTTCTGCTGGGCCTACTACGAGTAGCATACCCCCTCCGTCGACGCCAAAAAAAAGTTTAATTTTAGAGATGAAAGGGAGTAGTACATACTAACGACAGACACGCTAGCTGTCAGTTGCTGGACTAATGATAAGAATTAGCCAACATGTTGCAGACAGCCACTCGACCTTCGCTAGTGCCCACCTCCGCACGTGCCGCGCCTGCCCACGGCTCGAGCTCAGCCTCGGTGGGCGGCTAGCTGCTCTGTGATGGTTTGTGCTTGCGTGCTCCGCTTCTGCTGAGAAGAGACCTGGCTTGAGCTGTATAGAGGAGAGAAGGAGAGAGTCAAAATTGAAACATATAGTATGATGTAAAGATACCCGGTTCAAAATGAAAAGTTTGATTTACCCTGATCCAAGTTGCTACATTGGTAAGAAAAAAAAATAGCCTAAGATGCAATTTACTTTTAATTACTACCTCCGTTCCAATATAAGTGTAGCTGTGGATATTCGTGCCCAACGTTTTACTGTCCGTCTTATTTGAAAAATTTGGAGAAAATTTGAAAATATTTAGTCACACATAAGATGCAATTTACTTTTAATTACTACCTCCGTTCCAATATAAGTGTAGCTGTGGATATCCGTGCCCAACGTTTTACTGTCCGTCTTATTTGAAAAATTTGGGGAAAATTTGAAAATATTTAGTCACACATAAAGTACTATTCATGTTTTATCAACTAATAGCAACAAAAATACTAATCATAAAAGATTTTCAAATAAGACGAACGGTCAAACGTTGAACGTGAATAGTGCAAAACTACACTTATTTTGGGACGGAGGGAGTATGGGCCTGTTCACTTTGAAGCCATTTTCAACCTTACCAAATTTTGGTAAAGTTACCCAAAAAAAAGTGGCTATATTTAGTTTGCTGCCAAATTTTAGTAACTATATAAGAAACCTACCAAATTTTGGCAAGTTTCCAAAATTTTGGCAACTATGCCAAAATTGTGGTAGCTAAATTTTGGACATAGATCCTCGGCTCATCTGCTGTTGGGCATTAGGCCGTACGTTGTCCGTTCATGAGAAATAACTATATATATGTCTGTCAGTCTATCGATCTATCTCTATATATAATGGATAATGCCCGGCTGTGATGGCTTAGTTCTTAAATAGAAAAAAAAAGAGATTATCAGGAAGAAATATATTGCCCATGCTGCAAGAACATGCACTACAGTTGTTTAACAGTTGGTGTTGGGACAGAGGTAATAAGCTAAAATGTTTTTCTGTCAGAATCCAAGGAGTTCCATTTTTCTGGTATAAAGACAACAAACCAGTACTTACCAGAGGGACCTTAGTAAATTGTCTTGTGCAAACTCTTAAATCCATGCGATTGTTGATAAATGAACGTAGTAATAATGTTAGGCTTGTCAACCATGTACATCCTTAGTTATCCTACGCAGCTAGCCGTTGCTAATTAAAACATATACTACCGTTCAAAATTGAGGAAACAAAGATTTTGCACAAATTTGAGATCTGAGCCTACTGCTTTTCTACTTTTCCCCAATTACATGTTGCGCGCACAATTATGCACAAATGCACACCACACTAACACACACAAGCGCGCCCCCCTTAACACATACTCACAGGACCTATCGTTTTTCTGACTTCACTGGGACTCCCTTGTACATGCCCACACGCTGCTTTAGGTCATCTCGGCGTGGCCTGGCGACCGTGTTGTTTGGATCAAATAGGAGTACCTCCTCGAATGCCTTGAGCGCAGACTTCAGATCTTTCTTTTGCTCATATGCGTCCCCGAGGTTGTTCCAAGCTGTCACATAGCCTGGCTGAAGCTCAACAGCCTTCTCAAATTGCTGGATCGACTTGTCAAGTTTGTTATCTCGCTTGTAGCTGACTCCCAGGGCATTGTATACCTGACAGACAACGTAAAACAGTCAAGAGGAAGTATGGGCGGGATTCTACATTAGGCCTCATTTGGATGGTCTAGTGCATGCCCAGGATTTTGGCCCCACCAAATGACGCCTTACGGAACATAATAAGACAGTAAGATAATATTTTGAGTCCACAAGCACAATTGAAGAGCACATTTCAGATAATGATAATCTGCAGTCTGCATGAAAGCAATTCTCATCTGAGGTGAAGGACACTTCAACTTTGGTCAGAAAATTCTACATGATTATGATACCAACACACCATCTTTTTGCAACAGCATCAATTTGTAGATATGAAACATGATAAGACAGTAAGAATTCTATTGGCTAGATTTCAGGATATTGTATGTTGAGGATATCTGACCTGTGCAAGATCTTGCTCATCCCTATCCCATTTTTGGATTGCTTGCTGTAGATATTTGATAGCAGCAGGGTAAAATTTTCTCCGTAGCATGACTGCTCCAAGCTCAAAATACTCAGTAGCACTTGCATCACCACTTCTCACTTGTTCCTAGCAAAGATTTATGGTAGGTTTCAGTCCATCTGACAGATCACAGGTCAGAGATCAAAATTTTCAATTAAGAGGTCACCACATAGGACATGGCAGTAATATCCATTATGAAACAAGCAGCATCAACTATAAATTCATATCTACAAAGAAAAACTGTTTCAGTAACTCCTATGAACAAGTCTATCTATCTATACCTATACTAATTGGGCACTTTCTACAAGCTCTCACGTTAATCAGAAAAATCTAACCGTTTATTAAATAGATCGTGCTATAATAACTGTAGATCGTAAAATATATCTGAACTTAGTTAGTATCGTGGGCCATGGTAAGGCCCATCTAATAGGCGGGCAGATAGTAACGGGAGATCGATCAGATGCATCTATAGAAAGATTCTATCTGTGAGATGAGGCACGAAAAAAGATGGAACTCAAGAAAGCGATTTGAGATGCTCCAGGTTTGCCCTCATCCAGATCAATGACTATTTGGTATTTAAGTGCACATATGTAGATTTCTCATGCCATCGTCCAATCCTTTCGGTACAGGCTGCGGAGAAAACAAGCAGATGTGCATGTAGTTACGACTAATGCCTGATCATGTTAAATATTAATGGATTGATTAAGCAGAATAATCGCATGCGACAGCATCCAGGTGATGACCCTTGGTTGGTAATGGTTTCCTGTTAGTACGTGGAAAAGGAAATTTACAAGACACCATATGGCCATGTCCGACAGTTGAGTACGATACACCGAACAAGATTCATCTATGTCGCTGCATGCCCGCATCGATATGCAATATATAAAGGTATTGAATTCTTAATTTGATGTATTATGTATGTTCTATGGGGCCTATTCAAGAGATACAGCTGATTTTTTATTTTGATTGACATAATGGATCATATATGTCGAGCGAATGATTTGTTTTATCATAAGTGTGCTGTTCAGTTAATTAGGTCGATTAACATAACAAATTTCCATGGTCACTATAAAAATAGAGTTATTTAATATTAATTTTGAACAGAACATATACAGATCTATATTTTTCTATATACAAACTAGCAACTAATAATTAATTTTCCATATATCCTGTTTGTTTATCTATATGCATATATGTAAACCGTGGCTTATTGTTGATATTCATGTCATTGGATTTTTATCATTACACCCATGTTTTCTCTTAAACAATAGATTGCTAATAAAATAAATGCAGCCTATAGATCATATTGAGAATTTATGTTAAATAAAGCATACCTTCGGAAATCCTGAGGAGTATTCTTTATTTCATTTTTTTTACATTAAGCTTTGACGGTGAATAGAGTACAAGTTGATGCTTATTAATTACTAGGTTTGAAATATTGAATTAATCAAAACAATATATTGAAACTGCACCATGAGAAAAATATGCAGTGATTAATTCCTAATTTTAATATTATTTATTAAATAATGAAAATCATATAACTTACACTCCAAACCAAGCTATATACAACTCAGTACTTGCTAATTATGAATCGGAAAATATAAATCATGGAAAGTCTATAAAAGATGCTCCAAGCCAAGTACAACTCAATACTTATCAAGAAATAAATTCTAAATTAAGACTCCAACACAAAAATTAATAAGTGCAACTATATACTTATTAATTCCAAATTTGCAAATTATTAAACAAAAAATAGAAAATTACATAAGAAACATTAACTAGGGTGTGTGTGTGTGCGCGCGCGCGTGTGTGTGTGTATTAGTTTTTATTTTTTGGAACTATAATATAACTTTTTTACATATAACTTCCAACAAAACATGTTCCTATCATACTGACTGACCGTATATTATATTCATAATTTCTGTAAAATAAATGCCATAGGAGATGCCATGGATTATTTAGAATCAGTTTTTCCAAAAGTCACAATTAATAAATATATAGTTGTATCTATTTGGAATTTTGAACAGAAACTTTATTTTTAATTTTCAAATTTCAAAACTGATAATTACAAATTGTTTATGGCATGTACTCTTCATTCTATACGCTATAAGTTTGGAATTCATTGGACTCTTTATATATACTATAAATAATAATAACCCATGCAAGGCACGGGTTGGCAACTAGTAGCATCAATTATAGGAGGATCTTTCCCTACAATGACCTTGTGTTACCCTGATATGAGGATTTACACTCTATGTCTGCTGCACAAGATTATCAATACTAGTTGATTTCTTCCATTGCTCATTATGTACAAAAAACTTAACTATTGCACATTCAGAGCTCACTGTTATTCTGATAGGTTTTTAATATAAAATTGACCTGGTGGTACTACAGTTGGAAGTAGTGTTGGCAGCACATTTACCTGCAACTCTTTGGCAGAAAGATCAAGCTCTCTACGGACAAGAACTTGACGAATGACAAAAAATGTACCAGCTCCAAGAAGACCAAGTAGTATGAGAAGATAAGACAACTGAATTCCAAGCTCAAATAGCTCCCCAACCTCATAAACCATGTTTATATTTGTTCCTTCACTAGCCTGTGCTGTTTGTGCAAAACTTAACCATGCCATAGTGCAACATGGAAGTGTACCAAGTTGCAGCAGCGATTTGCTGCATCTCCTCATGCCAAAAGCTTCTGGTGAAAAGGCACATTGTACAGACATAAATCAGCAAAACAAAATTGTATCCAACTGGATGGCGACTAGATATTTATAGAGTTCTTTTTTTTTTAGAAAACAGGAGGGAGAAGAGGCCCCCAAGTTTCACTTATAGAAACTTATAAGCATGCTCACAAGGTAATTTTATTGAAGTAGATAGTAGCCTAACCAATTTTGCCTTTTGTTTTATATATGGAAGATAGTAATTTTCAAACACAGCTCATAACATTTTATTTAACAAGATAATTTAACACCAAGAAGCCTAGGACTATACACAAGTTTATATTTTTAGTTAACTACATAAGCATCATTTTCCAACTTCTACCTTTTATTTCTCATATAATTCTAGCGAGTATATATGATCCGTGAGTACTTTTAAAAGATTACACAAGAGAAAGAGGAAGTCACATAGCAAGCACTGAACTATGGCGCAACAACACCAAAACCAAAAGGAAAGAAACCTAAGCTAAAGCAGATAAGCCACAAACTACAACCAAGTAGTATGATAAAGAACTCCATTATCCACGTGTTGAATATTATCAACCTTAAGAACGAGGACTGCTTATATGTGCAGTGCTTAATCTCTACACTTTAACTATGAAACCACATTCTCAGTGAAACAAGAAAATTATATTATTTAAATACACCGTTATGCCAAAATCCAAATAGTAAGGGCGTTATACTGGCACAATTACGTGGGAACACGGACATCTTATAGAAGGAACTAACCTTGTATTTTTGCTGGACGAAAAGTATCCGCTTCACTTTTGATGCTCTGCCTTCCTTAGCAATAAGGAAACAAATCTCCAATAAGATTTGGTTTGAAATTGGAACACAGTGGAAAAGGTACAATTGGATTTGAAAGATAGGTTAATGAAATGATCAACTTTATGTTTGTGAAAACACCCATACAAGTTCAACAAGTTCAAGAACATGCCTACACATGTTAAGTACCTAAGCAGGCTTACAGTTTCACTATACTATTCAAATGCAGAATAAATCAGAAGCCATAATAATTAAAGTTGTCCATGGGGAAATCTTATAAAACAAAGATTGAACTACCAAACCACAAAATCTCACAAATACCTTCGGAAGCTAACCCAAAGACAGGTAATTATCCTGAATCAGAACATGTAGGTTTGCTATTTTTTTCTTCGCAGGGAAAAAAAAAACACAAGATCTAGCCAAACCTTGCAAATACCATACTTATACCTCTCCATAGCTGCAAGAATCTCCATGCCCTTGGTAGTAAGATCATTCTTGGCAAAAACATGGACTAAAGCCACAAAGTTTTCGCGTAAAGGGTGCATCCCAGAACTTAGCTCTCTTCTAAGAGATTGCATCTGTATTAAATAAATATAACATTAACATTTCATAAACCCTGTGAATGTATCTCGTAGAATAAATATCTTTACATTAGCTTCTCAATTATACTGATTATACATGAGAGGAAAGAAAGTTCTGCAGAAATAGTAATTAAGCACTTGCTACAAAGTTACATATTGGGCCTACCATAATCTTAGATCCATCACCAAAATAAAGGACATGACCAAACACACTTAACTTACTGCAGATGTGATTCCAGAACTAACACGCATCCACATGACAGGTTGTTTAATATCTGTAACAGTTCTGTCATTTCTTTTTTTGGACGTAAGAAAATATTTTTTTGACGTAAGTTCTGTCATTTCTTTTAAATATGCCCATTTAGCATTTGACTAAAAAATGTTTAGGGGCATTCACTAGAGGAGATGCACACCCAAGGTGTTGAACATTTACACGCACCAAAACTAACAGAAATAGATTATCTATCATGGGATCACAGCTCGGGAAGATAAATTAGACCAACAATTACCAAAACGCTCAATCCCGCATCACCCAGCAAACACACACACCGAGTGGACACTCGCATTTCACGTTTCATCAAACACGCGGACTTCGTTAATCGGACAATGCGCACAACGTGATGAGGTGAACTAGTGAAGAATCAATGAAAGAAAAATTCAAGAGGGGGATTGCACATACGGCTCCTTCTGCATTGCCGGAGAGAACGAGACCGTGGAAGGAACGGGGGCCGGGTGAGCGGCCAGCGGCTACCGAGCGGTCGCCGCCTCCCACCTCGGATAGCCGGCACCGCGGAGTGCGGCGCCGCTCAGCGAGGGCGAAAGCGCGCGTGCTGGAGAAGGCAGAGACGCGGAGGAAACGCGCGGCGGCGGTGAGGGGAAAGGCGGAGGAGGCCGGCGCTGGGGCGGGGGCGGGGCCGGAGGCGGAGGTGGAGGGGGTGGCCATCGTGGCCAGAGTCACACCGGAAATGGGAGCGAGAGGGGTTTTGGGATAAGGATAGCTCGGCTTTTGAGGATAAAACGCCCCATTCTCAAAAGTGTGGGTTTCGAATATTTTAGAGGAACTAGTAACGAACTAACGATACCGTAGGTTGCGTAAAGATTTTTTCAATGATATCACATGTAGTATTAGGAGTTGAGTAATAAACTAATACATTAGGATCGCTATATACTTTATAATTAAAAAAGTTACTATACTTTATAATTACAAAAGTTAATAAAAAATATTTTTTTTGGCCAAAACCTTTATTCTTTTTAGTCTCAACCTAGTCCACTACCTCTCTTTCTTTGCTCGGTTTGTCTCTATTCAGCTCAGCACGTAAGTAGAGTTGCATGTTCAACTCGCACAGTCTATTACCGTCTTCAACATCTGGAAGTTTATTGTTGTCTTCAACATCCAAAGGTAGTTCTCGTACAATGCTGGAGCCAATCCTCCCTATCAAATTCGGCCGAATCTTTTTCAATCTTCCAAAGTTAGCTTGAGAGTTTTTGTCCACTCGATCTCATCTTCCATTTTTCTCGAAATCGGAACGAATCAAACTAGTCGACCGGCCATCATCGGTGATTGTTAATTAAATTCAGCTAATTAAAACTGAAAGGGGAAATCATGGGGAAAATAATGATAGGGAAGTGGGGAATAGATTTTTGCAATCAATTAGGCTGAGTTCTTTTCCTCACTTTCCCAACTCATCTCTCTCGTTTTCGGCGGGCACACTACTCAAACGGTTAAACAATGTGTTTTTTTTTCAAAAAAATTATACACGAAAGTTGCTTTAAAAAATTACATTAATCCATTTTTCAAAAAATTAGCTAATACTTAATTAATCATGCGTTAATACATACTCTCTCCGTCCCAAAATATAACAACTTTTAGCCCTCAGAATTTGTCGCAAAATATAACAACCTTTTCACCAACATTATCTTCCCAACCAATCACAACTCTTCACCATTCACTTTTCCCACCTACCTCCACTACTCATCCAATCACAACCTCCACCACTCACTTCTACCTACTTTCTTAATAACCGTGTCCAACCCTAAAACTTCTTATATTCTGAGACGGAGGGAGTACATCGTTTTGTGTGCCGGCAGGGATGGCAATGGAGACTCGAACCTCGATGGGAATTACTCTATTACAATATGTAAATGGGCTAAAACGATCTATGCACTGTGCCAACTTTTTTTTGCACTTCAAAAACCTCAAAGGTGTCGGTACTGTTGACGGTCGTTATAGACCAATTTTGACAGTCAATATAACTAAAATAAAGGAGAACTAGTTATGCTTATAATGCATATTTATTTTAGAATAATATATTTCCACTTGTATTTGAAGTATTATTTGTTTGCAGAGATTAATGAATAAATAAAGAAGTAATGAAGGGAAACTTCACTCCTAAGCAAGCTTAAGGATAGAGGGGCCCACATGTTAGGTGTAAACGTCATGAAAACCGTTATAATTGCCACAACCGCAATGAGGACCCACCTGTCAGCCCCCTAACCAAAGCTGGAGGCCTGGGCTGGCCTAGGTTCGGTCGAACCATGCTGAACCCTGGCAGCGATGGCTCAACTCGGCCTCCACGTGGACGCTCCAGATGCACTCCCAATGACGGTTGCGGGGCATTTCCGATAATTCCAACCGCTATAACCGTCATTAGGAGGCTATATAAAGGGGTCACTTCATTCACTTCAACACACACTCAAGCAAGACTTGATCTCTCTCTCAACTTTAGTTTAGTGCTCTTGTGCTAAGTGGAGTAGTATATAATAGCTTTCGGAGTCCTCGAGTCTTCGGGGGGAATTCGGGTATGGCTCTAGTAGTTTTTATTTCCTCTTTTGTAAGACTTTCGAAAATAACAGAATATTTTCTTTATATATTCTCGGTACTTTACTTTTTCTGAGTATCGGTTTTACTTTATATCTATGTCGTTATAATTGTGTGGTTAGCCTACCAGAGAGAGGTGCAGTGGTGTGGGTTTAATGTCCGATTATTCGGTTGCTCTATGTCATCCATGGGGATATAGAGTAGTATTTAATAATGTGGGCGTGGTGTTTAGATTATTAAATATCATTATTTGGACATATATGCTGCGGGATAGTAGAGGTGAGCCACTGATGGTGATAGCTCAGTACGGGTATTCCTTCATGTTAATATGTATTCCGAAGACAATTCCCTGGGGAGTGTACTTCTCCGTATTTAGCCCCGGGTGGACGGCCATGACAGGTTGTCGTAAGAAAGTCAGCAACCCGGGGTGGTCTCTCGAAACACCAGAAATGCACTGTTAGGGGGCCGCACAATTGTATACTAGTAGATGTAGATTAGAATTGAGTGTATATTAGAAGTATAGAAATTGATTGCTTTTCTATTTCTTCTTCCACATAGCCTAGGATTTATGAATGAGAGAATCAATGTTCTTCTGTTTCGTGTCACTCTACCCATATATATGATTTAACCCCAGCTTAGACGTAAAGTATATAAATTGTTAGCATAGTTCTCTCTTATAAATCTTCCCTTGAGATTAAATAAATACGATACCTTGGAATACTTCCGGGTGAAATGCTAAAATGGTATATCCGTGCGCTTGCAGATTACTTCTGTGACCATAAATATACCAAGGCTATTTCTGTGCTATTGCTGGAATTCATATTTCTAGTAATATCGTTAAGAAATACCATCAGGTAATCAAATGTGTCATCACCGAATTGTCCATCGAGTTCTTAGCCTCTCCCTATTTCTGCTGCTATGTAGCACTGTTCGAGGTGGACACCACAGAGAGCGTGGTGGAGTCTTGACGTGGATAGCCCGAATGACAACTGTATGCATTGTGAGCGCCCTAAGGGCATTCACAGTGCAAGCTACTCAAAAGGAGGAACCTCAGGCTAAGCTCACACCTCTCCCACAGTGCAAAGTTGCTTCAAGAGTTATCTTAGTTTTTCATGTCAGCCCTTGTCATCTTTTATTTTAGTTCTCACATGTTTTCAAACTACATAACATATAAAATTTAGACTAAACACCCTAAAATCTAGAAAGTAGTATAAAATTTCTCCTTATCCCTAAATCTCTCCGTCCCCAGGCCACCACAACTGCACAACGCAGGCCGGCAGCTTCCCGACCTCCTCCCAACCGGCGGCTCAGAGGGCGGCGCGAGAGCTCGCCGGGGTACCTCCTCTCCCGGCCAGCGACGAGGGCGACGGCGGAGGCACGAGAGTTCACCGGCCTCTCCTCAGAGGGCGACGGCGGCGGCGCGAGAGCTCAACGACGAGTTCGGCGGCGCGCAAGCGGTGGAGGGGGGACGACGACAGATCCATGGTGCCCCTCCTCTCCCGGCTAGCGGCGGTGGGCAAGGAGGCTGGGGACGCGGCGCCGCGGCGGCGGATTGAGAATGCCGAGGCGGTGTCTCGACGATGAATCCGGCGACGGTGCCGTGGAGGCTGGGGACGCAGCGATGCAGCGACGGATCGAGGAGGCCAAGGTGGTGTCTCGACGACGATTCCGGCGACGGTGCCGTGGAGGCTGGGGACGCGGCGACTGTGTCCTCGGTCTTGTCTCCACGGCGCGGGAGCGGAGGACGGCGACGAACTCGGCGGCACGGAAGCATGGGATGGCGACGAGCTCGGCGAACCGGAGCGGGAGATGACAACGAGCTCGGCGGCGAGCTTGGCACCACGGATCTGGCAAGCTGCTAGTCCTCTCCTCGCTCTTTCCTCTCCGCCCTCTCCTCCCTCGCCATCGCCGTGACCCGACCTGCCCTCTGCCATTATTTCCTATTCTTCGGTTTCTCCCCTTCCTCGTCGGCACTTGGTAGTGTCGCCGGCGAGCTCCAAGCCCACTCGGATGTTGGCATGGTGGCGGGTTGGCGGGGAAGAAGAGAAGAATGGGGAAGATTTGAGAGTAGCAGCGGGGACCGCTTCCATTTTCCTTTTCGGGCGTGAGGAACTCGGCACCTAACTGGGAGACACAAACCTTGCTAGGGGACGAGACCCACCTCTTTTTCTCCTCTACA